CTTAATTCACGTTGACTCTGCCACAAAGGTGGCAGCGGCGTTTTCATCGGAAAATACAACCGCTCAGTAATTGTTATGTTTTTCAGTCTAAACCCATTCCCAAATCTGTGTAACCGCCTCTTACTTGCAGTGAACAGTTTGTTGTCACTTATCTCAGGGGGTCCCTTGCTGATGTGTTCTTGTACGCTCAGGGCTTTCTGGCGCAACATGCTGCCATCAGTCAGAACACACTTTCTGTTCATGTCTTTACCCACAAATTGTATGTTTTCCCATCCTAACCAAGCACTTGTCAAACACTGTGACAGTAACTTCCGCAATCTGAGGGGTGACAGCAAAACTAGCACACATTTCTTTTTCCTTCTCTCAATTTCACAGGTAGAAGATCTGTGTTTACAGTAGATCTTAACAACTTCAGCACAAACGTTTTTCTTTCCTTTTTAAATCGAGAGCTTGCACCTTTCACTTTAAGAAAGCACTTTACAGCTCCTCTTTGGCATTTCCGAAGGCCGGCATCACTACTCTTGCACTTTTAGGCCATCATTAAGGAAAATAAGGGCCATTTGCACGCAAGCACTGTCATGTGGCAACAGTCGATCTGGTGTCCCTGTCTCCCCTCCTGGCCTTACCTCCTTCATGTTTTGCATGTACCCCTACTCTGCTGCTACTGAACAAAGGGAGATTCACATCCCAGACAAGATGGAGTGGGGTGGCGTGAGATTTCATCACACTATTCAGCACAATCTGCAACTGAAAACTTATGAATTGTTTATTTCCAAATTTTTTCACTTAATAGTTTTGGACAGCAGTTGACCACGGGTAACTGAAACCACAGAAAGTGAGACTGCCGATAGCGAGGACTACTGTACCCATCAGCTGTCCATCAGGAGGTGGGAGACAGTGGACAGGGTGGTCCACGCCGACCCACTGCCATGGCCCCAGGCAGGGGCAGTCACTTGTTTGGCAACACACGTGAGACTGCTCTGGAATTCCAGAAATAACTCGGGGCTCACTTAGAGTGGGGTGAGGAAGTTCCACACGAGCTGGTCAAAGCAAAAACTAACTAGGAGAATTTGGATTACGAATGCTAATGGGTTCCCACTAGGATATGGGTGAGACATGGGGAAAGTTGAATTTCACTAGGAAAGTGCAAAGTATGGATTCCTCCAGAGACCAACTGGCAAGATAATACTTGACTCCTCCTTGGAGACCTTTGTTTTAGTAGAAACTTTTTCTCTTGAATCCTCCCATGTATAGTGAGTTTCATGAGCCCTAAATGCCCTTCTGCTCAGCTCTAAAGCAGAGGTGCTTCCTCATCCCTTTCCTCGGCACATGCCCATCTCCCATCCATCAAGGTCCCTGAGCAAACTCCGCCACTGAACACCTATCTAAGCAAGAGGAAGGGGGAGACCAAGGCAGGTGGTCAGGGCCCTGTGCCAGGTGAGCTCAAAGAAAGACCAAGACAAAAGAAAAACACTAAGCACAACAGCTATTTTATTCTTTACCTTATAATTTTCTTTATTTTACCAAATTAGCTATAGAAAAAGGCAAATCTTTTTCAAAATCAAATGTAAAAAGTACAAGTAAACAGCTTTTCACAATCTACATAAGCTTTATGTGTTCTCCCTACAGTCACTCCCGAGGTGTTTGACTTTATTATGTAATTAGAAGCCCAGTACATGAAATTCGTGCATGGAGTGGGGGGCGGTGGTCCCTCAGCCCAACCTGCACCCTCTCTAGTCCGGGACCCCTCGGAGGACATCCCTCTCACAATCTGGGATAGCTGACTCCTAACCGCTCTCCCCTGGTGGCCTGATTGCCCCTAACCGCTCTCCCCTGCTGGCCTGATCACCACTAACTGCTCTCTCCTGTTGGCCTGATCACCCCTAACCATCTCTGCCTTGGCCCCCACCATCATGGCTTTGTCCGGAAGGACATCCGGAAGGATGTCCAGAAGACATCCGATCTAATTATCATATTACCCTTTTATTAGTATAGATAAGCAGAACTCATAGAAGGTCACCCTGCCTGGCTGTCACCAAGGTAGTTCCACTATACAGGTAGAATTTGGCCAACCTGGACCGCATGGTACCCCACTTAGGGACAAGGACTCTGTCGTGAAAGGAGACAAACGTTAACATTTTTCCCCACTCACCTCCACTAACTTTTGGCTCATCCAGAGAAAGTGATTGACAACCCCAAAGGCTGCTGACAACTATTTGACAGAGGGGTCCACAAAGAGGCCTCCTCCACCTGTTACTCTTTTCTTTATCACTTCACATCCATAGGGGTCCCTAAGCCCCAAGAGAAGGGTCAAGTGCAAATCTGGTAAACCAAGAAGCCCTAGCAGTTGTCAACTTAATTAGCCTTCAGGAAAAATATATGGATATATGAGCACAGTGGAGTTGCTATAGAGACAGGCCCAGGAGGCACATTTAGAACAGGGCCTCATCACATCACCTGATAAAAATAAGACCCAGGCTTTTTAATAGCATGAATTACTTAAGTTTTATATTTAACAGGGGACGATACCAAGGCTATTACTGGTTTTCAGAATATTTTAGGAATCTGGGCTGCCTGTTTGTACATATGTTAACAGCCATCACAACATATGCTCTGGTGGCTGGCAGTTAAGAGCTAGAAGCTCATGTGTCTCTCTCACCCCTGAGATGAGAGAGGGACCTTCTCACTTTGGGTTTGTCCTCCTTTAATCAGGTAGGAGATTTTCAATATGTTTCAGAGGAAAGACTGGGGAAGAGCGCTACTGTGCTTTGCACCAGGACCTTTGCATATATTATTGCTAATCCCGGTAACAACCCTATGAAGTAATGATCTCATTTTGCAGATGAAAACACTGAGGTTCAACATTTCCCCAAGGTCATACAGCTAATAAGTAGTAGAGTTAGAATTCAAACCCAGGTGTCCCCCATTCCAAAGCCCATTGCTCTGTACAAGGAAGAATCTGGGATGAGGGGAATCTAAAGAGATTTAACATTTTTATTAATAGATAGCGTGGACTTTATTATAGTTTGATCTCTCCTCTAAGGAGGTCCTAAAGAAGAGGTCTTCAAGAAGAATTCCAGAGATTCCGACCTCTGCTGATGAGAACCTCTCCAGTTATCCAGGGCGAGTGTTCATTTCAGGCTAACTTCTCCTGACCACCCACACACTTCTGGGTGCCTTTTCCCCAGCTCAGTCCCGCAGGCATAGTTAACACAAGATCCCAAAGTAAACTCCATTGACAGAGTGTCTCCACTGCTCTTGCATACATGAAAGCTTAAAGACATGAAACCAAGCTGGGAATCCAAAGGGAAGGGCATTTGGTTGTGGGCTTTGTTTGTTTGTTTGTTTTTTACAGTTTTGTATTTGCATTATTCACGACTCTCCTACTCTACATAGAGACTCTTGCTTGCTTTCAGCTTTCATTTATTTATTTACCATTTTCCCAACAAAGGCTTACATAGTAGACTCATTCTGTGCCCAAGAGGTACCAGTCTTTCCTTGTGGTGGGAAATGGTGCTGGTGATGATACAGCTGGGCATAAGGCAATGGATGTGACAGGGAGGGGAAAGATGGTTGGAAGCTGGGGGCCCACTCAGTTTATCAGCTGAAAGTAATGACAGAAGTTGTCTGGGCTCCAAAGGATCTGAGAGAACATGTCAAGGGAAAAACTGAAATGTGTGGTTTGGCAGAAATTCTAACCAAAGTATCGCTCTAAGTGAACTAGGCAGAGAAGGGGAAGGCAGGTAGATGCCACAGATGAGGCTGAGGTCCAAGCAGAAGCAGAAGACTTAGAGTCTCGGAAGAGTCCCTGAGCAGTGGACCCGCCCTAGGAGCTTTCCCCACGCTGCCTGCAGCCTCCAGCCTGTGGACACGGGCGAATCGTTTTGGCTATTGGAATAATCCTGTGGTTGACTCGTGGCATATAATGAGCTCAGTACTCCCCGAGGGCCAGCCTGGAAATCCCATTTCCACTCCAGGCAACCACAGAGGTTAAAGGCATGGGCTTTCTTCTCAGGCCAACTTTATGTCCTGGCTTTGCCACTCACGAGCTATGGTAACTCAGGCAAGTCATTTAAGCTCTCTATGCTTGAGCTTTCCTGTCTGTAAATAGGAATAATACCAATCAGATGCCAAGGATGAGCCCAGGTAGGAAAATGGCCAGTGGGCTATGTCAAGGGCCAGAGACAGCATCCACTCCATTGGCTGGGTGAATGCCATGGCCAGGACAGTGAGCAGAAGCCAGACCCCAACCTCCCTCCTTCCATGACCCTAATGCTCCTTGGATAACCCCCCACCCCTCGCCACCCAATCTCTGTCCTCTCCTGCTAAAAGGGTCCCCTGAGCCACTACTGCTGTCAACCATGCGCTCTTTCCATGAAAAGGTCTCTAGGGTAACTCAGGCCCTGGTCGCCACGTGCCACCAAGCCTTCCCCTATCCCCGTCTTTACCTTTGCCCTCTAAATAAGGAAGCCAGCGCTGCCAAGGCAAGAACTTCTGCCCAGTTTGGATCCTGGGTAGCCTCTCGCTTGCCTCTTTCCCTGGGCCCCCAGCCAATTCCTCCCTCCCTCAGAGATGCTCCCTGCTCACTTCATTCCTGCCTCATAGTTGGAATGACAGTGGCTCCCAGCATCCCTGAGGCATGGGGAGGGTGCTGGGGGTCTGGGGAGTAGCCAGCTCAGGAGCAGGTTAATGTTACAGCCCTGGATAAGTGAGCTGGGCCAGCTGACGTCAGGGTGATGATGGGTGGAGGGGAGCGCCAGGCTGCTGAACTATAAAGACAGGTCAAATCAAATGTAATCAACTCGGGACAGAGCTAGCCGGCGAACTAGACAGCGTCCCCAAGCCATGGTCCCTACCAGCCGCGGATCAGCCTGGGTCCCTCTGCTCCCGACCCGAGTGCCCGAAGCAGGCTTTGGTTTTATGTCAGCAGCCTTCATCTGCCTTCCAAAAATAAGCCCCTGCCGCCATGCCGAGGGGAGAAAAACAAGAAGGGCGGTATTTTTAGGGCCATTAATTCTGACCACGTGCCTGAGAGGCAAGGTGGATGGCCCTGGGACAGAGGCTGTTCATCGCTATGTCCCGGGGAGCAGGACGTCTTCAGGGCACGCTGCAGGCTCTCCTCTTCCTAGGCGTCCTAGTGGGCATGGTGGTGCCCTCCCCTGCGGGCACCCGAGCCAACAGCACGCTGCTGGACTCCAGGGGCTGGGGCACCCTGCTGTCCAGGTCCCGAGCTGGGCTAGCTGGAGAGATTGCCGGGGTGAACTGGGAAAGTGGCTATTTGGTGGGGATCAAGCGACAGCGGAGGCTCTACTGCAACGTGGGCATCGGCTTTCACCTCCAGGTGCCCCCCGACGGCCGGATCAGCGGGACCCACGAGGAGAACCCCTACAGTGAGTGCCAGTTGCAGCCAGTTGGGAAGCTGGGGGCTTGAGCTCAAGCAGGGCTAACGGATGAAGGGGACTTGCTCTGATGCATGGGGTCCTGTTATGAAGGGGAGCGAAATGCTATTCTCCACTTGGATGCCCTTAACAGAGCCACCCCTTCCAGACTCACTTTGACTCTGCCCAGGTGCAGGCTCAATATGCGGAGGTCCCAGCATCCCCGTGTGCTTTGCCATGATCTCATGGAGCCCCTGTGGCACTCATATTTCAGCATTACGGGGCCATCTGTGGCCATATAAGACCACTGGGAACCATCAGCCTGGGAAACCAAAGGCAAGGATGGGGAGAACGAGTGAGGCTACTTGGACCAAATTAGACACAAGCTTGTTTTTATTTAGCTTCCCCTTTGAGAAGGGAAGGCAAGTGGTTTGCACAATTTCCAGCTGAAGCACATCCTTCTTTTCATTTCAGCCTGCCCCCTCTGTCCTGGGGTCTGTGTCCTACAAGTTGATGGTTGCTGCATAGATAAGCTCTCCCAGCTAAGAGGGCGGGGCGGGGGGGGGGGTGCTGCAGGTTCCAGGCAAACCATCAGCCTCTGCTGATGTATTTGCAAGATTAGGTGGGCTGAGATTTGTTGAAACATGTGGAGTGTACATTTTTAACAAAATGAAGCTGAATGCAATTTTTACTCAACTCAAGAAGTGATTAAGTCAGTGAAAGCCCAGATTCAAAGCTAATCGTAAGTAGATACCTAAGTGGCCACTGTGATCCCTAACTCTGATGTCAGAACGTCCCCTTGCAGAACCGGATTTTGACAGTCTATTGGCAAGACCTGCCAAGTCTAGCTGCGGGATTTCCTAAAATTAGACAGATCAGGGAGGGATGGAGGTGATGAGGGTCTGACTTTCTAGGAGCAGGGGGATGGGCCTCGCCGGGTCACCTTTAGATTGACAGCTCAGTCTGATCTGCACAAGCCTCAGGTAACACAGCCCGTATTTCCTCATCAGGCCTGCTGGAGATTTCCACCGTGGAGCGAGGTGTGGTGAGTCTCTTCGGAGTGAAAAGCGCCCTCTTCGTTGCCATGAACAGTAAAGGAAGATTATACACAACGGTGAGTTCATCCGGCCAGGGGAAGCTCCAGGTTGTACAAGGCCCAAAACTGACTCCACTGAGGAAAATAGTACAAACTCTGGAGTATGGAGATGAATATTTCTCTAGAATGAGAACAGAGGGGGCTGTGGGAGGAGGCTGTGCAGGTGGGGGGCCTTCAAGCTCAGGCTTCATTGGACCATGATCCTCCTGGTCCTGCCTCCCAGCGCTTTGTAATTCCAGGGACCTGCAGCTCAGAGGGCTGCTGGCCTGAGGAAAAGCTGCACTCTGGCCTACGGCCACCCTCTGGGCTATGGCAGGTTTGATCCCCTGAACTGGAGAGGCCACGGAAGCATGTGGCCAGTGTGCAGTTCTCCATGACCCGCCCTCGGAGAGGCGCCTCCAGCCCCAGTGCAACAGGAGGAGGGGAAACAGAGACGCTCTCCTCGCCTTCATCAGTGTGGGGACCTTTTCACATAGGTTTTAAGTCCAACCCCTGGCCCCAGAGCCTGGAGAAGCATCGGCCCTATTATAACCCCTTGGCTGATTCCAAAATACAGGCTGGGAAAGTATCCCTATGATGTTGAAGAAACCAAGAGTTCTTTCGACAGAAATAAGAGGGCTAAAAAGAAAGGGCTCTGAGCAATGGTCAAGGAATACCAGAGTTATTTATGGGAAGGGCGTGGAGGGCTGCTCTACCTCTTCTTGGAGACAGACTGAGGATCAGGAAGTGGACAGAGAGATCTGGGATTGGTGCCGGCTTCTGGGGAGACTATTCCAACAGCGCAGGTCTGTTAAATACCTGAATGGGGTGCCCACGTGGCCTCTGCCCTTGAACACCTCTCCGTCTGAGCTGGTTTCCATGGAGACAGGCATGGATTAAATTCCGTGGGTCTCTGAAATAAGACAAGTAACAGAGGGGCAGTGGGGCAGGAGCTGGAACGCGGGACCCAGTCTGTACACCAAATGCACGTCTGCTGTGGGCCTTACCTGCCTTACCTGCCAGGCCCTGAGGCAGGTCCCCACCGCCATGATTGACACAAGAACTTGGAGACCTGGGGTCTTAACTATAAGTGAGGATGAAGATCAAACCGCTTCCCAAGGGTGCTGGGGGGATAATGCTCAGAAAGCCCTCCACAGGGCACCCTGCAAACACCTCTCTTTCCTACACATGAGACATGTGGGAGCACCGTTTGCATTCACATCACCTTGAGAGCTTGTTAAAGGCACAGATTTCCGGGACCTTTCTCAGAGATGCTTATCCAGGAGGGCTGGGCTGGGGCCTGGAAATCAGCTTGTCTGTTTTTGCTTTTTAAGTTTCTCTGGTGTTTCTGAGGCACAGGCAGGCTTGGGAACCACCAGGCTACAGAGCCTCTGCCCTGCCTGAGGGTGACCCCAACCCTGAGAGCCGGAGGGCTGGGGAGATGGAAGCATGGAATTCTCAGACACCTCTTACACCTCGGCACCACACCGGTGATGGAGGGGACAGGAGGCAGCCAGGACCAACCCAGGTTTTAGCCATGTGCCTAAGCATTAGGGCCAGGGGTGTCCACGGAGTAGGACCCCTCCGAGGAGTGCGTCCCTCAGAGCCCCTCGCAGCCTGCATGATGCCTGGAGCCCACTGGTTGAGAGCCACAATGCGGGTGTGAGCTAGGCCCACTGGTGCTCCATGACATCCGAAAGGTTGGCGACCTCTGAGCTCGGGGACCCTATGCAAGGGCTCCTAGGCAGGGAAATCTGGAAGGAAGCATTCAGTACAGCAACCCTTACTCTTGCCACCTTTGTTAACAAGCTATTCAATATATCTCTTTGCCCAGAAAGAAATTCACCTGGGAGGTGGGGAAAGGGCACAAATATGGAGGATATTTATCCACTCCCCACTTTTGTTAAGTCCATAGTCCCGGGAGGAGAAGCCAAGGAGGCTGGGAACACGAGATTCAACAATCGGGGACATGCTGCACAGGGTAAAGCCTTCAGAGTAACCACAGGAAGGGGGAGCCATCGCTTTGAAGGGTGGACTGACTCCTAGTGCAGGGGACACCCCTGGCCCTCGTGCTTAGGCACATGACTTCCAAGGGGACAAGCAGGGCTCATTAAATGACCAGGGTTTAGGAAGGAGGGGAGAAGATCGCCCGTTTGCCACAGCCCCCACACACGCTCCCCAGGAGCACTGGGCCCAGAAGCACCTTCTCTAAGTGGGGACAGTCTCCTCCCGGATGGAGCCCAGGGCCAGGCAGGAGTGGGGCTGGGCAGGGGAGTGTAGAGCTGAGCCTGGAGCCGCTGCCCCGCAGGGCTGGTTATCACAGTCTGAAAAAACAATTGCCAACTGATCCGGGAGCCAGGAAGACTCCTGCTGGGCGATGATTTCATTCACACTATTTCCCTTTAAGCCCCCAGAGCTGCCTCATCCCGAGTTGGCTCAGCTGCTCCTGCCGCTAAATGGGACTTCTCCTGGAGGGAGGGAACCGTGCTGGGCCGGGGACAGGGGACAGGGGACAGGGGACAGCCCTTGGGGGGAGAATGCGTGTTATGAAAGCCCTCTGGAGGAAAAGGGGCCTCCCCCTTGACTCACTTTCAGAAAAGAGGACGCCAGACCCTGTCCCTCTTGGGACAACACAAATAGCCACCCCTTTTTAAGCCCCTACTTTTTGCAGGGTGCCCTGAAGGGGGCTTTTTGAGCATTATCCCCCAGCAACCCCGCGCCCCGCTTCCGCCCCCCCCCCCCAGCAGGTTTGACCCTCACTTTATAGTTAAGACCCCAGATCTCAAGGTCTTGTGTCAATCATGGCTGTGGAGGCCACAGCAGAAGTGCATGTGATGTACAGACTAGGACCCGTGTCAAATGAGGCAGAAATCAGTGAATCCCAATCTCCTTTTTAAAATAATAATTTAAAAAAATCAAGGCTCTCCACTTGACAGTGGTTCTGTTAGAATCCTTTGGCTGGAAAAAAAAAATGCCATCAATGAAACAACATCCAGCTTAAGAAAAAGTCTTAAGAAGAGTTTATTTGAGCCAAACTGAGGAAAACTGCCAGGAAGCAAAATCTCGACACACTGAGAAAATGCTCCGCAGAGTGGCAGTTTTGCAGCTTATTTCATACACAGGAATCAAAGGAGGAAACGTAAGGGGGTTACATGGAATGTGTTGGTGGTAGAGTTGGGAGGTAGAAGAAAAGAAAGTGGGGAAATCTCTGGGACTGAATAAAAGGTAAAACAGAGAGACACTTCGTTTACATTGGGATGTATAGAATAGTTAATATTTACAGCACGTAGAGATAGTATCTGGGGCACAAGATAACAATGAGGGGTTCTGTGGTCTCTGCCCTGCTGCCTGTAGTTGTGCCCTGAGGGGTCTGGAAAAGGGGATTACTCTGACACCCCAAAGGTATGTTATCAGAGATGCAAAAAGACCATCGACAGGCTCAGTTAAGGTAAAGGTTGACCTTTGTCAGGGAAGCTACAGGCCTAGAATGGGCCTACCTGCCGTGACTTGCTTTTTGTTAGGAAGTTTTCATTTCAGACCATCCTAGTCTCTGAGCTTGCAGGGCCCACCATGCAGGCCTCCCCTGAGCTTGTGAGGTTTAGTATGTGGCCCCTTTTTTGTCTACAATACACGGCAGCAAAAAGGTACTAGAAATTCAGTTATGCTTTTAAATGATTTTAGCTTTACAAATTACAACTGTGTCTACATCTTTTATATCAATAGTAGTGTGACAATGTGCAAAACACACTACTTGCTTCATCCCGAGAGGCCTTTGAGAATTCCCTGGGGGTAATTCAGGAGGCCCACGCCTTCCCCTCAGTCCGTGCTCAGTTTGCTGCTTCTCTCATCCAGCGTATGCAAGGTCTGGGCGCGGGGGAGGCCGTACTGCAGTGAGGCCAGAGCGCCCTGCAGAGCAGAGAAGTCTCAGAACGCGTGGCCTGCTGCAAAGAGCTACAGGAATGAGAAGAATGATGTGCCTGGTGAAAACATTTTCTAACACTTCTAAATTGTCAATGCAGTTGTGTGTTAGGAATGAGGGTTAACGAATACAGTACAGACCTCTTCAGAGCCGGGAGATGTTATGACTTCTTTGCAGCTGAGGACAGGGAAAGAAGCAGTCAGTGGCTGCAGGAGGAAAGGGTCTCAGGACAAAGTGTTTTCTTTTTTGTTTCTACCACCCACTCCATAACCCACCCACCCCCACCTCCACACACGCACGCACAACCAGGAGAAATAGGGACAAGCGCCAAGGGCAGCCGAAGGAGGAAAAACTTTAAAGACAAGCATCCACTCCCATCAGCCTGGGTGACTGGACTCTGCCTAAAGGCAGGAGATGGCTGTCTGGTCCACCCAGACTTCAAGAGGCATTTCTGCCTGCGGCAACTCCTGCAGAAACACCCACACATCTACCCTCTGCAGAGGCCCTCTCCAGAGTGAGGGTCGGTGCTTGATCTGGTTCCACAGAAGTCTGATGAGACCTATATGGAATTCAAGACATTGTCACACTGGGGCTTGAGGCCCGGAAGGCCCAGGAAATGTGATCTGCTGGAATTATTTTCATTTGTTCAAGGAATAATATGTTGTAGCTGCTTTTATTATCACGGCGTTCACTGGGCTGAGTGCATTTCACACCAGAGCTGAGGAGCCAATCTTCCTGAGCCATGAGAACTCAGAGGCCAGGGAAATGGTGGAGATGAATTAGGGGCTGGGTCGTGATACCACCTTGAGCACCAATCTTCAGGAAAATCCCAAGGGCCTGAAGCATCGGCTGCACCAAAGAGTTTGGGAAGTTGTCTTGGCGTCTTGCTGCAGGTCTATAGCCACCTGAACTAGAGCATGGGGGGTGGGGGTGTGCTTAAAAGAACAGGCCAGGGGAAGGTAGAGAGGGCTTCTAAAGCAGACTTCATCTATTTCTCTTTTTTCTCTTTAGATTTGTACAGAATTCTGGGGAAGGCTAGGAATATGAGATAAGCTAGATAAAAGGGACAGAATGGGAAAAAAAAAACAAGTCAGAAGCTTCTTTAAAAGGGAGGGGGAACTTGAATAATCAAAATCTGATGAACAGAGGACAAAATTTGATGTATAAAGCATCATTGTCCACTTGTAAACAAATATGTTTTAGGAGACCCAGGCACTAAGGAAAGGCTGAGTTCTTAAATTGGACACATTCTAGAACAGAGGATATGAGCAAAGGCCCTCATAGCTTCTTGACAGAATGGCTCATTTCTCCCCTTCCTCTTCTCCTCCCCCTCCCTCTACCCCAGGATTTGATTCTGTCTCTGGACAAACCACATATGCAACCTCTCTCCTAACCACCATCCCCGTCAGAAATGAATTCTCCTGGAAATCAGCGGGGCGGTTACTCTCCAGGGATGTATAAAATTAGAAGGGAGGGGAAAGTGGTGGGTGGAGACTGGGCTGTGATGGGAGGAGGAGGAGACCACCGGGTTCTGATACCAATGTTTTCTCCGTTTCCTGGCCCATCTTCTATCCTGAGTTCCTTTTCCATTTTAAGTAACCTACTTATATGACTAGGTAATACATGAACATGGCCTAAGGGGGAGAACAAGTACAACAGAATATGGCATGGGAAGTAGGCCTCACCCTCACTGTTGTCCTAAAGCCACCCACTTCCTCCCAGATTCAGCCGCCCTAACCGGTTTCTTGAATACCATCCCAGGAAGCACCTGTGTCCCTGCGCGTGCACACGGGATCTTTTTTTAAAATCACACAAACAGGAGCATGGTACACACACTGTTTGAAGCTTATTTCTTCACTTAACAGTATATCTTTGAGACCATTTCAAGTCAGTGCACAAAGAGGTTTCTTATTTTCTCACTAGAGGCCCAGTGCATGAAATTCATGCATGGGGGGGGGGGGCGCTCCCCTCAGCCCAGCCTGCACCCTCTCCAATCCAGTACCCCTTGGGATCGGGCCTAAACCGGCAGTCGGACATCCCTCTCACAATCCTGGACCGCTGGCTCCTAATCGCTCACCTGCCTGCCTGGCCACCCCTTACTGCCCCCCCTGCTGGCCTGGTTGCCCCTAACTGCCCCCACCGCTGGCCTGGTTGCCCCCAAATGCACCCCCCCTGCCAGTCAGGTTGCCCCTAACTGCCCCCCCTGCCGGCCTGGTCTCCTCTTACTGCCCCCCTGCCAACCTGGTCACCTGCAACTGGCCCCCTCTGCTGGCCTGGTCGCCCCTAACTGCACCCCCCTTGCTGGCCTGGTCGCCCCCAACTGCCATCCCCCTGCCAGCCTGGTCGCCAGCCTGCTGTTCAGTCGTTTGGTTGTCCCTCACTAACCCCCCTGCTGGCCTGGTCTCCCCATGCAGCCTGCTGTTCAGTCATTTGGTCGTCCCTCACTAACCCCCCTGCCGGCCTGGTCACCCCATGCAGCCTGCTTGTTATATAGTTTGGTCATCCCTCACTAACCCTCCTGCTGGCCTGGTTGTAGGCAGCCATCTTGTGAGGGTGTGAGGGTCAATTTGCATATTACCTCTTTATTATATAGGATGGCTTATAGTGTTCCACTGTGTGGACTTGCCGTAATTGAGTTCACCACTCCTCCTAATAGACACATAGGCTAATGTTGGGCTTTCACTACTGTAAACAATTTTACAGTCACTTTTGTACATGTGGGAGCCTGTACCAGTAAGGTAAATTTCTAGGAGCAGAATTACTCATCAAAGCTGTAACAATTTTTTATTCTAATAAACACTGTCAAATTGCTCTTTATAAAGTCTATAACAATTTACACATCAATGGACATTAAATGAGAAATCCTAGTTTCTGTGTCCTCACCAATGAAAGTATATTATCAAATATTGTTCTCTTTGTAATCTGACAATTAAAAATGGGACCTCACATTTTATGTCATTTACATTTCTCTTATTAAGCATATTTTCTTATGTGGTTTTTTTGTTTGTTGTTGTTGTTATTAATCCTCACCAGAGGATATTTTTTCCATTGCTTCTTAGAGAGAGTGGAGGGAGGGGGAGAGACAGAGAAAAACATCCATCAATTGGTTGCCTCATGCACACACCCCTGACCGGAATCAAACCCTGGACCCTTCAGTCCGAGGGCCGACACTTTATCCACTGAGCCAAACTAGCTAGGGCATATTTTCTTATGTTTAAGTGCTATTTGTATTTCCCTTTCTGTGAATTGTCTGTTCATTAACATCCATTTTTCAGTGAGTTAAGGATTCTGAATATAGTAACAAAATGTCCTCTTTGCAATTTATTGCAAACTGCATTACAAAATAAAATGCATTGAAAATATTTTTTATCCAGTATATTACTTATAGTTTCATTTTGTTTTAAGGTCTTTAAATTTTTTTCCAGACAGTCAAATTTATTTATTTATTTATTTATTTATTTATTTATTTATTATGGCTTTTAGTTTTTTTGTGTCCTGCTTAGAAAGATTTTTCTGACTTAAAAAAATTTTTTTTTATCTTTAAGTTTCTCTTTTTTGCAATGAAATCTCTACTCCTTTTAAAATTTATTTTAATATAAGAATGAAGGCATACATCAAATTCATTGTTATTGTTATTATTGTTCTTACCAACACCATGTTTCTCAGTGATTTGAAACACACTTCTATTTTTAGATACACTTTTATTTTATATTCACTTCAGGTCCATTTTTACTTTATATTCACGTATCTTTGGGTTTACTTCTTGACCTTCTATTTTGTTCATTTGTCTGCACCAGACTTTTATTGTGGCACCAGACAATTATTTTTTATTTTTTATGTGCCAGACATTATACCAAGGACTTTTTATGCATTATCTCAGTTAATAATTACTCCAATTCTATGACATAATTATTCTTACTGCTCCCACTCTACAGATGAGGAAACTGGGGCTTAGGAAGTTAATTTGCCCAAGTTCACACAGCTAAGTACGAGGTGAAGCATCATCAGTCTAACCTCAAAGCTATTGCTCAAATGTGCTCTTTGCCCACTTTGATTTGTTTCTTCTCCCCACCTTTGGGATAATCCTTCCTTCACGCATTCCGCAAGTATTTATTGAGCACCCATAGGAGAGAAAGGAAAGCTTGTGGCAACTCCCTAGATGGTATCAAGGAGCCATTGATGGTGGCCGATGAGAGTTTTCACATTTGTCTCAAGGAAGTTAACATAATGTGAAAGCTTTGTAAACCAGGGGGGTGAGAGGCAAGGAGCAAGGGCAGGAGGGGAGTGCGCAGTGTGTTCCCAAAGACCACACCTCCTCCCTGCTCACCCCCACCCTGCAGCGATACAGCCATCCATGTGGGGGTATCTATACATTTCAGTGTTGTCCCTAATAGTCATCATTCATTCAGCATCCTGTACTCAACAAGGCACAGTTCTTGTCTTAAGGAACTTGGAGTCTATTGGGAAAGAAAAACCCGTCCACAGGGATGACACACTGTTTTAGATGCTGCCTGAGAGGTGAACTCCAGGGGCTGGGAGCCCTGGTGAGCGAGCGCGTCACCTTCTGTTCAAAACAGGAAGAAGCCCACTGCCAGCGGGTCAGTGAGCTCACAGTACAATTCCTGTAGAGAAGGTCAGATGACACCTCTGGGGCGGTCAGCCATCAAGTGGGTCATTTTATAGCTGATGGCCTCAGTCAGGAGGAAGGAATCAAAAATGATACTCCACCTATTTCTCTGTTTCATCCTTTTTTTTAAAGACTACATCCCAGGTCTCCTGGCTCCCAGCTCGCTCTCTTCCTCTAGAGTCTAGACCCCAAGGAGCTTCGCTCCTCATCAAAAGCACAGAACCCTCCCAGCTCCCCTCAGGACAAGGACCCGGCGCCCTAAGGGAGCAAAGGGCTCTCTTTTCTAGGAATAAAGGAGGACATGGGCTGTTTCCTGTGGGTGCGTGACAGGAAGTCCAGCACTCACTTCTGAGCAGGCGGTTCACACACCGTCCTCTACCAGATCAGCGCTTTATCACTGGCCCAGACCCCATGGCACCGCTGTCACACAGGCAGCCAGCTTCCTTTCCCCACAAAAACCACTGCTCCCCACCTTCTCTATTCCTGCACTTCAACTACGAGTGTCCAGGGAGGCACAGGGCATCTTTGGGTTCAAAGTCTAAATGCCTCTTTAAGGAATTGCAAACTTGGGACTTAAAGCAGGAAAGGCAGTGAGGAAACACGAGTGGAAAGAGTGAGTGAGTTACTATGATCAACAGACAGCACGAGAAAGGACTTAGGAATCATCTGCCTTGACCCTTTCTCCAACTGCCCCCTCCTCACCACCACGGCTGTGTGCCCCAGCAGGCTGCTCCTCTCTCAGCCACTAACCAGAACCCCGAGCTCTTTCTCTCAGTCCTGCTCCACTAGACTCCCTCTCGCAGTGGACTGGAGAACACAGCCCATTACATCCCTTTCTGGTCCTTTCTCTGAGCGGGATAAATGATCATAGGTGCTTAGTAGAAAGTGCCCCGAACTGGAAATCAGGAGACTCACCGCCTGTGCCACAGACTGTCCACCTATGTCCCTGGGCCTTGGTTTCCTCCTTGCAAAGGAGGGAAGGTGCGAGGGGACCATGAGAGTTCTGAGGTCTCTTTCTGTTCCAACCTTTCATGATTCTGTTCACCTGGAGTGCCTTGCATCTCAAGTGGCTGTTCTACAAAGGGGAGGGGGGGGCCCTTGGCAGCGGGTCGGCTGGGTCTCACTTGTAATTGGCCTGCTGTTTGCCCCTTCTTTCACAGACCAGCTTCCAAGAGGAATGCAAGTTCAGAGAAACCCTCCTGCCCAACAATTACAACGCCTATGAGTCAGACCTGTATCGAGGGACCTACATCGCACTGAGCAAATATGGACGGGTAAAGCGGGGCAGCAAGGTGTCCCCAATCATGACCGTCACTCACTTCCTTCCCAGGATATAAGGACCCTGAAAGAAGGTGCACAGGCGGAAAGTGACATTTTTTCTACTGGAATTTTGCACAGTGAACAGTTTCCCTTACCCCCATGCCTCCTGAGTCAGGTTTCTCTAATACTGGGGGAGGCCTGAGTTGGTTCCCTCGGCCACCAGACCCCAGGACATGTAACCCACCCAGGTGAGGGGTTGCAGCCAGCTTTGTAGAGTGGCAGCGGAGCCCATGCTCTGACCTCACCTGAGGAAAGAAGGTGCAGATGACACTTGTGGAATGTGACCTTGTGCCCAGGAGAGGCCAGCGAGGAAACATGTGTGTGCTGGTGTGTATCCATACATCTCTGTCTATGTTGTCAGAGCAAAGGCATTTCAGAGCATCGGGTTTCTTCCCTCCAGATCACTGTGGCAGGCATCTGCCTGCAAGAATGTCACTTGTCAAACCACCAGGATTGATGCGTGCTCCCACTCTGCCTCTTTCCAATCACCTTTGCGTTCAGAGGCTCCTGGCCGCACAGCAGAGAGGCAGGGTGAGCAGGAGGAAGGTTTGACTGCAAACCAGAAGGAAAGTGGGCAGGCACTCTGAGCGTCTTGCTCAGGAGGACTGTGGGGACACAGGCGTATTGTCGGGGCAGCTGGGGGAGAAGGGGTGCCCTTCTCGGAGGACAGCAGTTTCCCGGGCGGTTGGGGAAGGCCTGCTGGAGGCAGCGGAGGGACTGGATGTTCCATGGAGAGCCATTCTGCTGGAGGACTCGGTGCCGTGTGGCTCCGAGATCAAGTGGGGCCAGGCTGCCTGCCCATAACTTTTCCTCACTGTGAACCAGGTCTTATTTTAACCTCAGATGACAAGGATCCTAATAATGGCAACCTCTTTGGCAAGGGGTGAGGGGGAGCAAAATAGAGCATGAAGGAAGTAGAGAAGCTCTGGACTCCAGATGATAATTCCTCTCCAGCTCCGTCCAGGAAACTCACCCAAGTTCTCATCCGATACCCGCACTTCCTTCTTGGTCGTCCTCGTCTCACATACACGCCTGTGCCTGGATGCGGGAGAATGGGCACCGTGGCGTCTGGGGTGTGCCCCCTCTGGCCCCCTACAGTGGAAGAGTGTTAATCCTGTAAACTCAAGCAGCCAAGCTGAGGCAGCTCCTTGCTGCTTGATGGCTTCTTGCCTCCTGCCCTTTGAGAGTATTTAAAGCAGAGGTTCCCCCGAGCGACTATAAATGTTGTCTTCCCAGAGCGTTCAGATTCCTGAGCCATCGGACCGGTCCTAAATCTGAAACCAGAGAGAGCCATGTCAGAATGCAAATATTTTTGGCATATGTGAACCACGAGTTACACGATGACCTGACACCCTCCGCTACTCCCAGGGGCCCCTGCCTGCAAGACAGCCCCCCATCTGCTGCCGCGCCTCATCCCTGGCGTGCCGCGCTAGTGCAGATGTGCCGTCTATACATAGGCCTGACCTGGATGACTGTGAGCCCAAGGCGGCCATTGGCGATCCAAGGGAGAGATGCCATACTGGCCGCCTCCTCTGCCCGGCAAACAGCAGGAGGACATGTGCTGGGTGAGGAGGAAAAGTCCACCCCCAGGTGAGCGCATTTGGAACAGACAGTAAGAGCTGAGGAGAGAGAAAGGCATGGCCACGCCTGGGATAGAGACTGGAGGGGGCTGAGGTCCTGGATCAAGTAGAAGAGAGAAAAGCGGTCCATCTTGACTGGAATATTTGAAGTGCAGGCCTGCTGGGAGGCAGGGGACGAAGCTGATTGTTTTCCAGGAGGCAGTCCAGAGCAATCTGTCTCTATAACAGGGTTCATCAGAAACCGGTGCTCTCAGAACCCGAGGCGCGTATCCATTCTGATGGAAGGCGGTGGGAGTGCAGGAAGGCTGGGTGGATGGATGGATGGAGGAGGAACAAGTTTTAGGTCCCAAAGCATTAGTTCCTTCCTGCCTAGCTCTTTGAGCTAAGGTGGCTTGAGAGGGGTCTCAGGCTTCCAGGCCTTTCCTGCATCTCTCTGGAGGCTCATAAAAGCGCTCAAATCCCGACAAGGAGTTTCCCCAAAGGTCTGCTCCCATTTGTCATGCTGGGAGTGAGAAGGAGAAGCTGTGGAACGCCCAGGACCAGGCAGGCGATATCCGGCCACTACACAGCGGCCCCAGCATGCCGCTGTGACTAGAATCAGCTCTGAGCAGCTGGGCGTCTGTTCTAACTGGTGCCAGGTCCCTGCTGTACCAGGTGTTAAGCATTTTGTATTACACGGCTGGATGGAGGCACACATCCCTGACTCTGAAATCCTTCCCATCCAGAGGAAATCTCCCAAGGCTTTCTCTTTGGCCTATAAGTGACTTGGGCTTAAGAAAATCAGTCCCCCTCACAGAAGCAGCTTAAGGGGCAGGAACAGCGCAAAATCAGCGCAGGGCTCCTCAGTCCCTCCCTCCTGCTCGTCGGCGCACAGGTGTGCACAGTCCTCACCTCTCTGATCATCGTGTCTGTGAATCTGAATTCCGATGCCAGCCCCGTGGGCTCCAAGGGGCTGCGGAAAACGTTGCGTAGGCAGGGGAACAAAGGTGTCCCCACCTTCCGGCTGACAATGTCCTATGAATGACGTGGTCCTCCCTCCCCCGAACCCTGAGCTCTGAGACTGGTTTAGAGAGTTTTGTAGCTAATTGGTCTCTCTTCCACCCTGAACTTCTCTGGCAGCTCCATGCAAACTTGGGGTTCTAGCAGACCTGAGGCCGCCTTGTTCTCTCTTCAAGAGTAAATGATAGAGAGAGCAACATACTGACCCCTTTGAAGACAGACTTCTCAGCTGGAAGAGGTTAGCTCAGACACCATGCGGAGCCCCAGGCCAGGTGAGATCTGCACCCCTCAGGGTAACGGATGGACGTCAGGAGAACCAGGAAACGCCAGCTGCCTGCTCAAGCTGTAGCTTATGTTGCATCATCACTCGCTGCCTTCTGATCCCCCTTCCCTTCCCACTGCCCAGACATGTTTGACCCACCTTTGGAAAGCAGCATATAATGATGTGACTAATACCCTGTCATTATCCTTCACAGCCTCCCCTCTGCCACCACGTCCCACGAATCCTCCAGCACACACACTCCAAGGCCCCAGTCAGGGCCCTGATCCTATGACTTAAGAAAGAGAATGCTTTCTCTTTCATCTGATCCAGGCCATACACCTCTCTCCTTTGCAGACAAGTAGGTTTCTCCGAGGGCCAATAATCCAGGCCTAACATTCTCTCCCACCACCACCCTGCCCCGGGCGTTGGGAGTTTTCCTGCCCATGCTGGCTCAGGGCCCTTCTTGTCCTCCACCTCAGACCCTTCAAGTTCTCACGTGTGCAAGTCCTGAGGAAGAAGCAGGTGCAAAAGTCCATGAGCTGGCGTTCTCCTGCCTCCCGAGCTGGGCTTCACTGCCAATGCCACAGCCACGGGCACCGCCTCCACCACTGCTGTCGCCCCGTCCCCTCTGCCCTGTCCCCTCTGAGCCTCTCATGTGAGCGCGCACTAGGAAACTCCCACCTCCCTCCCTCCAGGGCTTTCCCCAACGGCTCTGAAGAGGTTTCCTTTGCCACTTCAGGTCTCTAACACTTGTCCCCCCTCCTCCCGCCCAGGAACCAGCCACTCATTCTGCTACCTCCCAGGAAAGCTCCCAGGGCAGGGACGTCTGGGACAAGGCCAGAGAATAGACAGGAACACTCCAGTCTGCACCTGAGCTGGGGTTCCTCTTCCCAGGACAGGAGGGAGTGATTACACCCCAAACAGACCCCAAATCTAGTCCATTGCGCAGACAGGCCACGCAGAACATGTTGTTTACCTCACGAACCGCTGAGGCTCCAGCACTCGGGCAGCTGTGTCCCTTTCTACAAATCACTGTGGTTTTCCCTTTCTACAAATCACTACGTACCTCAGGCTGGGTCCCAGTGCAAAGCGTTCTCGAGCCTGGGTCTAGCGAGTAGGAAAGCTCGGAATTTGTTCCGTCATGTGCTTGTAAAATGTGATGCTTCCATTTTGTTAATATGTATGTGCTATGCACAAACCATATCATGTTCCAGCAAAAAGTGAAAGGCCTTTTTATACGTTCCTCTACACTGACGCCACCCTCCTATTAAAACTGACAGTGAATCTCCGGGCTGTGGTTGATTTCCATCTTCACTCTTGCCCACCTCTCAGGGAGGCCGCAAGGGGAATAGCAGCACATTCCTGCTGTGGGTATGAAAGTCACGGAGCTGTGGGTTCCTAAGGCAGGAGGAAGTCACGCAGGTCACTTGGTCCGATCGTTGTGTTTATAAATGGGGGGAGGGGAAGGAAGCCACTGTGGACCAAAAAACATGGTGAGGCAGCCGCCCTCCCCTCCTGCCTTGGTCAAGGCCAGATGCCCACATGTCTGTGGCCAGCACATTCGCTCAGTCCCTTAGTGACCCACCAGGGAACATCTACTGAGCACCCTATCTCTGCTGCATGGGGCTGGGTTTGGGGATATGTGAGTGCACAGGGCAGACACAGTCCCCATTCGCTTGCAAACACGTACTGAGCAAAGTCACCGAGGCCTGTGTTACAGTGCAGACTTCCCAGCTGACTTGCACAGACGCACAGACTCCGATGCTGGGCTCAGGAGTCTGGCTCTACAACACCCCACCTCCCAGGTGATGCTGACATTGAAAAGCCCTGGCCTCACAGGACGGCTGGAAGTGTAGAACATTTGAGCTAAGAGAGACTCTATGACTTATTTTTTAAAAAAACAACAACTAGCCGAAACCGGTTTGGCTCAGTGGATAGAGCGTCGGCCTGCGGACTGAAGGGTCCCGGGTTCGATTCCGGTCGGGGGCATGTGCCTGGGTTGCGGGCACATCCGCAGGGGGAGATGTGCAGGAGGCAGCTGATCGATGTTTCTCTTGCATTGATGTTTCTAGCTCTCTGTCTCTCTCCCTTCCTCTCTGTAAAAAATCAATAAAATATATTTTAAAAAAACAAAACAAAAAAAAACCAACAACTATATATAGGTTAAAAGAAGATTAGGGAGTTTCTGTTTCTTATCCAGGACCATGCAACCAGAACTAGAACCCTCAATGGCTGTGTTTCCCCTC